AATCCCGTCCCCCACGTTGTTGTACTTTCAAGAACTCTGTTGACAAGTTGATTCAGTCAAGATCACTTATATGTAGGGTATTGTTGTTTGTTTTGAATTCTTTTTTCGATGGTCATCTTATTTTCCTAAATTTCACATCCTTACAGCATGCACGTTAACAAATAAATGATAATTAAATAAATACTCGCTAGATACCGCAATTCTATATTCGTTATCACAAAGCCCATTGTGACATTAGTGTAGGGGACGTTGCCAGGGGAGATGTGAAATGTGCTGGAGAAGATCGTTGATTCAAAATCTATCGTCAGGGCATCCCATCATGAGGGGACCAAGCTTAGCTTTTTTCACACTTTTCTTCTCATTCATTATCTTCATGCTCGTCCAATTTCCGCTGTGTTCGATAGCACCTTTACCACCTCATTTTAGCTAGTCTCGCTGAGATCCCAGAAATTCATTCAATATTTGTATGTCGTCAGACAGTGCTTATGATGATGTACTTTGTCATTCATAGAGTCCCTTTGTCGCCTAACTTTTTTTCCTGATTGCTTGTTTACATATGGTTAGTCGAATTTGTAAACGTGTAAATATAGGGATAATAGCACATTAGGATGCTTCACTTTAGACAGTCCCCTCAGAATGCACAATAAGTTCAAATTCTAAGGAGAATTATGAAAAATTATGCGTATCGTTTGAGATCTACATTATTTTTAACTTATTATTCTAGATCTATCTAATTTTATTTTGTTATATGTTTATTTTTATATTTTTTATTTTATACTAGCAAGCTGCTATGCGAGTGAGCCTATTTCTAAGTCACTCAATGAAACGATCTGGGATAAGGATTACTATACAGAAAGGTCTGTTCAATCCATGGAAATTCAATCCACGGATCATGCAAGCCGCACGGCGCCTCTTGCCGCTGGACCGCATGAAATACGTCGAGGCTCCATCTCCTTCTATTCTCGGTTTTGCAATACTTATTATGGAGTAAGCCAGGCAATCGATGAGGATGACTAGACTGATGGCAAGTATTCAAAAATATATCGGAAGCTGGAAATGCCTGTCTTGGCTTCCGACGTCTGACGTTTTTCATCATTTAAGAGAGAGTACCAATCGAAAAGGGCGAAACGAAACAGGTTCTAAACTGGATAATTTAAATGAGGGCCAAGAGAGACTTGAATCAGTGGGCCTTCCGAAAACCGGGTCCGCCTTAAAGGCAGTCTTTTTTAGTCTTTATAGTCTTTTATGCGTTACAGAGGGTGAAGCCCTTCTGAACCCCCCCCCCCTCTCCCTCCACCTCCTTGTTGTTAAAGCTTTAAAATAAAATTTTGCTGATGTTGATGATGCACTGAGCATTTCGATAATACAAAATCAAAAATACAAATACAATTCTGCATATTTTCTAAAAACGGTTTCTTGCATGGAACTTTTATGTGGTTTTTGAAAAACCTTCCACTAAGAAGCGGCGGTTGTCCCCTTATACCCCGATCTTTGCACTGAGATACGCATAAGCGACGGGCACAAACGGCTTTCCAGAGCCTCACGATTTCGTGTGGAAGCAGTTTACTCCCGTTCCAGTAGATGTCGTTGACGGCCGGTACAACCTCATTAAGGCTTACTCCCTCCGAAGGTAACTTCCATCAAAGTTGACATAATATTCGAACCCTGTTTAGACAAGCTGAATGCAGTCCTTCCACCAGCAGATGAAATGCGACAAGTCCAGCGTGGGTGATTCCAGGGTATAAGCACATTTTTATAGTATCTGTTGTAGAAGAAAAGTACGATTGTAGAATTCGAAATGAAATCAAATCTTCATTCGTATAGGCCTAAGAATGTTGTAGGTGTCCGACTTCTCATCATAATCTTATTAGTTTCCGAAGTTGATAGCAAAGGAGCCCTGGGAAAGGGCCTACCAAAACTGGTCCACGTTAGTGTGTCTTTTGGTAACGTATATTCTTCACTTCCTCATTTAACTTTCGCTGTACACCCATTCACCCCAAAACCGTGGTCCTGAAAACCTTTGCCATACCTTCATCTTAGTCATCGTTTTCCTTTCAGATGTTATGACAAGACAACCTTACCAGCTCTTGGGAAAGCGGGCGTTAACCAGTGGAAGACGAGGAGTTTTACGGTGAGTTGGAATCAGAAACATCTCTTCTAAAGTGTCAAACTTACGCGACGCCCACTGAAGGAATTGGTTTCATTATCGTTGCATTGACACATTGGAAAGGTAGGAGAGGGGAGGGAGGTGGGGCTGGGGTTCAGGAGCGGCGTCACGAGAGCGTTGGTTCACACTGAAGAAAGCAGTGCATGCTTATTCAGCAGGAGAGGGTTGTGTGCTTGTGCTGCTGATAGTTCTAATGTAAGAGGAGCTCAAAAAGTTGTATTCTCTTGAAATTGATTGAAGGATCGAGATTGGAAAGAATTGAATGGCAGGGAAGCTCAAATTGCGAAGTTACTCGGATATTCAACTTTTCCCCTTTCAGAGAGATTCTACTACCGCTGCTGATCGGGCTATCTGTTGGTTATGCACTGGGATTGACGTTAAGTTTCGAAGAAATCGATTCCATTGATCACATTGCACAAATCGATGAAGGTAGGTTCGAGAGATTTTACTGTGAAATGGAAAACTTCATTTTACCTGATCAGGTAAAATTCGCTTAGCGGAAGTAAGGGAAGGCTGGAATAGGAGAGTTGAGCTAAGTTCACAGAAAACGTGAATAGGATGGAGTGACACAATCAATGAGCTTCAAAAGAGAATGAATGAAAACTCAGAAAAACTTAACAAAGAGCAAGGAGACATGTTCATATTGCGGGATGAGGTCCTGCTGCGGCTACAGGAGCCTTCAAGGAACCTTTTGAGCCGCGCTGGACATCCATATGTAGTAAAACCTTCGCCGCACGCTTTTTTTGAGCGTCGTCCCCTCGAGCTAACCTATGGGAACATCTCAGAAATTTTTTTTCTTCAGTTTGCCTAGATGCAAAACGCTGAGTTGGGGTCAGAAGCATATGGTTTCAACATTGACTTCGAATTGACCATAGGTTAGGCCGTGTTTACTACCCAGTTTTTAATCAGTAAACATTGAACAGCTACTGGTACGGACAATGTTTGATTTTTCTGTCAAGTTAATCATATATATATATCTTCAGATGCCCCGGAATCTACATTATTCTTTCTGCGATGTCTCATTTTAGTCAATCCGGAAGCTAAGGTAAGCCATCTTTCAGTTTTCTACAAGAAAGAGGAACCTATGAATTGATCACCTATAAGTTGCATTGATACTTAGTAAAAGTTTCAAAATACAGATGGATTTTACACTGTAAGAAGCTTTTAAGGGGTTTGGAGAACTCTGAAGGCTCTGGTTGATAATGAAATTGGGATTCCCTACCAATTTACTTGAAATTCTAGTATAACTAGATATACAAAAGTTGATATAGATAAATATTGAAATGGCAAATCCATATAAGCACAAATTGTTAACAAACCCTAAATGCAATGAATGAAATTTCGGAAAAAAACACCTTCAGAAACCGTTAAACTTCATCACCGCCATAAGAGATACTTATGGGAGCGTGTGTAACCAGACGATCTTTTACACGAATTCTGAAGAAATTCAGAAGAAAGCAGCAGGTGATTCTTCTTCATAAACACAATTTTTAGTTTTTACCTTCGAAAATTCAAGTTTACTCCACTTCAATCTACTTCTTTCAACTAATTTTCATTTTAAGACCAGTATGTCATCGTGGTTGACTCGACACTGAACGGTTTCTATTGGAGCTATTTCCAACAAGTAGTGGATTCGTCTTCAAAGGTTCGTAGGTTCGATTTCTTTTCCCAGACTGTCACGGAATCTCCTTTTTTTAGTTCACAGACTGTTTCTAGAACCATTTCTTCAAGGTACCCGCCCAGTGGACCTATATCGGCGATGAACAGGGGTACCTATCAGTCCAGAATCTGCGAAAACTCGTCCGTGGCTTCAATCACAGACGGCCGCTCATATTTGGGAGAATCTTCATGCAAAAGTTAGAAGTTTTCCTATATATATTGCTCGAGCTGGACTCTATATTTTGTTAAGGAGGGAGTGCAGATAAGGAGGTGGGGAGGGCATGGGAGTGAGATATAATGAGGGAGGGAGAGAGAAGGAAATTTCCTAATCTCCTTGCTTCTGCTGAGCCCCTGACCCTGCCCATTCACTAAACCTCTTTTCAGAAGTGATTTTGGTACTTCCCCTTCTCCCTGTCTCCTTCCTGGAATCTCTCCTCAAACTTCTTTTCCACTGGAAATCGAATTTTGTGATTTCATTGCTAATAATACCTCCATCTGTGGTTTTTCCTTGGAGGATGATCATTGTTTATTTATTCATTTACTTATTTATTTATTTATTTATCATCCATCATTTATTTCTTTATTTATTTCATCTTATTCAGGCCAATCATCTCCTATATCTTTCCATTTCTTCAACGTCAAAGGATGTCGTTACAAAGCGGCATTGTGATGACCACTTCGGTAAGTATAAACACTTTACTCTCAAAATTTGCTCAAGCGAGAGCATAAATACGCAAAAATGATTAAATAACTATAAGAATAGACTGTATATCATCACGTAAGAACTACTTTTATCAAAAATTCTGTCTGAACTCCTTTTCGTGCATACATCACTTTTAAGATAAATTAGAAAACTTTCAGGCTATAAAGAGCCTGTCCCGATGCAATGGCTTACTTTGGCCACGATCCACTGAATCAGCTCTGATCGCCTGCGCTAAAGAACTTGGAATCAGGGCTATAGATCCTGTCGATGAGGTAGGGCTATAGAAAAGTCATGAGGGTACATAGCTGAATACCTCGTAACTATTTCCATAATTGTTCCGCTCCTAATAGAAAAATTGCAGGATAGTATGCATCTGTTCCACGATAAGGATATCAAGACACTGTTACCTGAAGCTTACCAGGCTAAACATAAACATGGGGTATAATTTAGTGTCATTTTCAAAGTATTTGTCAAAGATGTCAGATTGTAGGACAAGACAGTTCTTGGCTGTTGCTCTGATCATGCGATATCATTCGGACAGCTAAGCTACAAGGATATCAGACTTGCTGACTTTGCATCTGTGCATTGGAAAGTTTTTGGATTGGGCGGTAAGTTCAGTCTTTGATGAAGGAATAGTCAACAATTTGAATTCTAATCAGCTCTTCCATCAGCCTGTAGAAAAGCAAAGTAGTTTCTTCTTTTTCACTGTAAATCCAATCACGTATTTGCGACTGATACCGATTTGTGGTATAATTGATCAGGTAATAGTAACTTCTTTCTTCTGGAGTAGAACGAGGAATCAAATCGGCAGGGGATGCAGGTGGTTTGAGGGAGAAACGTAAACAGAAATCCAGTACGGGAGCTCGACCCTTGCCGTAATTTGCTGTGGGTACTGACTCGAAACGGGTGTTCGTGAAGCAGTACAGTGCAATGAATACCCTATGGTAACGACCTGTCTCCTTGCCCAATGCCCCTTTTTGTTGCGTCGTACGTATGTTGGGTTTGCGGTTTTGTGTATTCAGACAGAATTATGCTGAACAAGGAAATATGTTGGCAGTGAAATTCTGCGTCCATTGCATGTTACTTCAACATTAAGTCACTGTAAGTATCAAGCTACCGCACAAAATTGCCGCTTCCTCGGGTGAGAGCCTCACCACTCACTTATCAATCTGTAGTTATGGTTCACACTTCCTCCTTGTCACTATAGAATGATAACTTAGTGCGAAAATTACAACTGACCTTCTGCGTATGTCAGTCGATAGTTATGGCCATTTGACATTCTGTTGTTCTTACGGTATTGCCACAACGATTGTGTAAATCAGTAGCCTAACTTCATGATCCTCGTTATTATCACCAGCGTAAGCGAAGCGTCAGACAGCCATATTCACTATATGGCTCCTTACCCGGTTTAACAACGAGTTTTCGGTGGTTGTACCCCTCAGTATGGTGGCCGAAGTTTGTTATCCCAAAAGTGTACTTGTATTCAGAAAGCTTAGAGTAGCACGGTTTGACCGTTCGTATGCCATTTGTTTATCTTCTCTTTAAGAGCTTTACCGTATAATTATGTTTATACTCTCCGCTTAGAACTTATTTATTGCAGGTGTGGAAGAAGTAAACGCAAGTTATGCCATCGATCCAAAAGAATTCACAACAAAAGCGAAAGTGAACTCATTACTCAAGAAAACTACAGTAGTACCTGCCAAGAAGTCGTCGAATGACACAAAAACACTAATAAAATCAGCTAATAAACCAAAAAACGAGACCAAAAAGACAGCAGCATAAAGTAATGTGTAAAAATTTATTGTCATCATAATAAATCGTATGTGTATAAAACTATGTGATTTAATCGATATTATACCACAACGTGGAATTATTGATTGCTGGTAATTTTTGAATATGTTGTATTAATCCAATAAATATTGCCTTATTTTCGAATGTTTTTAAAGGGAAATACACGACTTTCTAAGATGAATATCGCTTCTCCATTTTCTTGAGAGCCTTCAAAACGAACCGAGAACTCGGTCGCTTGGGTCGATCTGCCCAACAGGAATTTAGTAGCTGTAAAGAGTAGTCTTTGATTCCCTCGTTCACATCTAATAGAAAGAACTCAATAAGGATGAAATTTCGTCTGGAAGGCCCACAGCCACCAAGAACGCCCCCTGATGGGCATGTCGAACACTGTTCTGCACGCGGCGTCGAAGGGTGGACCGTGATGAATACATAGGGATACAGTACCCAACTCCCTGACTAACACAACTTGCAGAACATCGAAAATGAGGAATCCATAGAAACATTGGGATTTCCGAAAACCCTCCGTATTTTCTACCTTTTTTGGCAATCAAGGACTTTTCAGCACCTAAATATAGTCAAGACAATCGTAGCCACTCCCCATATCTTGCCCAAGACCGACATGCTGCAGATGATCTCGCTTCGTATTCTCACGCACCTCTAGCAATCCATTCGGTAGTAGCTCTTCCATCACGTCTAATGTGGCATCCTTTCGATAGGCTCTACTTCTTATCTCAGAAACGGTTTCGTTTTCGAAAGGAATTGCAGCTGAAAGTAACATGAGCGCCATCGTATTGTTCCAAGTAGCAGTGAACTCTCATACTCTCATTACTTTCACAAAAATGTGTAAGATGGTTTTGAAAGAGTCGGGGGTAAAGGTGATAAAAGAAATGTGTCGGCACGAACCTCGATGAAACATGCTCCAAATCATTGTGGCTAGAGTCCAAATCACTGCTGGCTGATCGTATGGATCCGGTTTGGTGCCATCACTGCCTGTGAGACATTCCCATGGCATCCAGCTGAACTTAGCTACTTATATCACCATTCTAAATCGAATTGCACTTTACAAACTCTGGCAAAACATGAAGAAAAGGGTAAAGGAACACAACAGCGGCTCTTGAAAGTTGATAATACTTTTTTGGAACAAAAAAAATGTTTTTCGACCTTTTTGGTTCCAAAAAGGTAGCTTGCAGAGAGGCACATTGTTCGATATTTACTTTACTCCACAATAGAGGAGTAAAAAATGAATTCTATCACATTCAAGTCTTGTATGATCTAAAAATATGAGTCTCTGGTCTACAAAAAGCACCGTAGCCGAGCCATACTGCAGAGTTTTTCTTTCGTAGCGGTCTGTTCAACCTGAGTTCCAGACAAGTTACAGATTCTTTGGTACGCGGTTCCTCTGCATGGGCTCGCGATGTGGATCAGAAGTAGAAGTAGATAGGAAGGAAAGGTTTTGCTGATATGGGAAGGGGCTCGATAGGAAAATTCGTTCGAGTGAAGGAATCACTGCCATCAAGCTACACCCAGATTCGAAGACTGCAAGTATTCTTTGGATATTAAAATTTCATGATAAAGTCAAAATAGCCCCGAAATTCAGCATGGAAATAATAAAGGCACGAACTGCGCACCGGCACCGTTCCACATCCTCTGTATAAATTCTTTTTGGAATCAAACCTGTCGAAAGACCAAAAATGACCACCTGAAAGTCATTGGAATGATTCTGTATGAATTAAAGCGATTCGCTATAGAATTAGAAAGAGGCAAAAAATTATAAAGCAAAGTCAATGGAAACGTCGAGCAGCTATGGCAGTGCAGTTAAAAATATGATTATTGACTAGGAACAGGAACAAGTACCATGGCATTTCAACACTGTATATTCAAAAAAGAGAAGTAACCCACTTTCAATGTTCTGTTGGCCGTCAGAAGGCAAATATCTGTCGAAAGCTTTTTATGAATAAATTTCATGTGCTCGAAAAAATCTATCACACTAGCTAATTGCCGGGCGAGTTTTAGAAGCTGAAATTGCAATTACTTTTCGATGTGTATCTGAGTCGATCACATTCAGGTTTCTCAGCAATACGCTGGTGACCTATTTTACATATTTTTTTTATACCAAGTTAATAGCGAAGAATATGAACACGACTTTTCCAAAAGAAGTAAGCTAATGAAGGCGGTAGGGTTAGACGGCTCGAAAAGGCTCAAAGCTGACCTCAGCGTTGCTTCTGACATCTGCTGTCACATAATCCGATAACGATTCAACCGCAGTGTCTTCGAGAAAGATAGTAATTCGCGTGTCGGTCACCATACTGCCCCATAACCGTTGAATGTTCCTGAACAAAGAGAAGTCTTGGTTACTTAGTTTTTACAGTATTCGGCAATTAGAATCGCTTCTACGATGTGCTTTTTTGAACAATTCTCTTGCGAATCAATGAAAAGATAGATTTCCCTAGGAATTCGTCAGTTCTGCAGCTCAATTTTGAGGAATGAGTACTCGTAGAATATCCCCTGCAGCTGATCCCGCCCATTTCAGTAAGCCACGCCCCTCGACGTTTGCCAGTTGGGTTTCTTTATTGTGACATGATAAAGCACGACAAAAAAACTGTCAATGATGTGATTCTATCAGGCGTAGAGCCGTGAAGTACAGATTGGAGTCGTAACCAAGACCGCGATAACCAAGATTTCGCTCATTCGCTCTCACTCCTGTTTGCTCCCCTGCCCCCAGCTCACAACTTTACATACTAACGCATGGCAGCGAGCTTCGACTGAGAACTTCCACATTTCTTTTTTCAAGTCATGTTAGCAGGCCAGTTAGCTTTATTTTCTTAAATCACGGGAGCATTCTTCAAAAAACCCCGAAATGCTCACAGGCAGCCAAAATCCTTGAATTTGGCAAGGTCGTTGATAATGACATTTCGCTCTTCGGGTCGAAGATCAGCAACGACTATGGAAATGACTTGTATGGATTTGTTGTCTGGGAACAGGATCTTCCTTCTCTGCACTTTTCCAACTTGATACAGTGAGTCAAATGTGGCTGCCGGGCTATTCAGAATTGGAGAGATCTAAATAAAACTCATCACGCATGAACATTTCACAACAAACCGAATAGAATTTGCGAATTTGTCGAGGTCGTCGAATGTTGAGTGAGGTTGGCGCAATGATACAAGCTGTGCTTATCATCTAGACTATAGATCTGATCCTATTCGACTTACTCGGAAGCCGTTTTGCTCGGGTCAGTATCCGCCTACGCCTATGTATGAGGGGTAAGTAGATCTTGTATCAAAGGGTGACTACATAGCGTGAGCTTCTTTGGAAGTCATAGTCGCTGTATTACTGAATTAAAAACGGAAGCATGGCGCTTCCTGAAGCAATTGGGAAGAGCGCACTGCCATCACTTTCTCAGAACTGAGGCAATCCAGAACCGACCACTTCTTTTGAGATCTTCATAATTGCCAAGTGTTTGTCATATGTACCTGTTCTTCTCGCCAAATATACTGCCTCTGTACTGGTTGTAAATGCTCTTCAGCGATGAATTTGCCTAACTTCTTTGCACAACCGCTGATTATCAATTCATTGGCAGCACACTTGATCTGAAGCTTCCTAATCATAAGTGAAACTCTACAAACTTTTCATAATTTCTCAAAAGCCACAGGTATGACCCATTCAGGGAAGAGGGGGGAAGCGAATGTACTTGACGTTGTAATCAGAGCTAATTAGTGGCCTATCAACTGGAAACGAATGGCTTCTAACGTATGAGCAGAACTCGGTGGTTCAGGCAGGGGGAAAAGAACTGCAATTTATAAATTTTTTGTTTTTGTCAGTATAGCACGACTTTGATGTTGAGCTTGAATTGTCAAGAGAGGTTAGGCATTTCAGCAAAGAAAACGAATTTAGTCAAAGAAACGAGCCATCAACACAATGGAATACGTCTAGAGTCAGATGCGTAATGTCTATTACTGTAGGCATGTTAAGTACGGACGATTTCATTCACTTTGAATTTGTGGGAAAGTATAAGAGCTCACTGAGTGGTATTTAATGTCCCGCTCTTTGACGACAAATGCAAACCGACACCTTTCTCGACCACACAGCATGGTCGGAGGAGCATCAATCAGAATACACTGCTCTGAAAATTTACTTTTTTGCGTGAAAGTGATTATTAATGCCTACAGGTCATTTTCAAATTTTTAAGGCACAGTTCACGATAAATGGTTTCTGAGTTTTCCCCATAGGATGAATCTGAGGCCTCCGAGTATACCATATCTGGAACTATTAGGTCGGGAAATGGCCTAGTTAGGGAGCTATAAAGGCTCAAAGGTTGGCCCGTAAGTATCCTCGGACGAGTTTCACCGGCATTGTAGAGGCTGCACCGATCACAAGAGAGCCCACGTAGGGAGTTCAAACAGCTTGTCGTGGCTCATAGCGACAGTGAAAGACAGTTCTGCACAGTTCTGGCTTGATGTAGTCAGCTCTTTGTGCAATTGCAATAACTGAAACCTCGTCCGAATACCTCTTCCATGTTGTTTCTGTCATGGCAATCTCGTCCAACTCTATTTTCTCTACTTTTGAGGAGTCATATTTTTCTAGAAATCGGCGAATTCTCTCGCTTTCTTCACTACCGAAGAACTACTCCCAACCTATACTTACGCTTTCCGATTAAAAATGGGTACCTCAAATTATCCTAAACTGTGCCTTTAAATTGCTCTCTGGTTTGCTAATTTACACCGAGATTCGCAATGCGAAAGTTTTATAAGGTTCCTAGAGCTTTGACAAGGATATTGATAGGGAAGAGCGTTGCGCAACGTATAGAATTCCATTGATGGCAGTACTTCTCCCCGAATTCCCACGGCAAGTGGCAACGGTTCCGCGGCGGCTACCGTATACATCCACAAGGAATTCAAACCATTGCCTTCAAAGCGCGCAACAGTTACCGTACTCACATTCCTAAAAATCTGAAAGGTCGAATGCAACCTAGGCTACTGAGCCCGATCATACTTCTAAAATTCCTCCCAGAACACAGTTTTGAATTTGATTCGTCAATTGGCTGAGAGCTTTGATCCAATTAACTTTGCAATTTAGCATGGAAGTTGTTTCGTCAACGTGATAATCAATATTTATTTCTGAAATATCCTCACTTTCTGAGGTTAGTAGGCAGTCCACGTTTGAATTGTCGAGCAACGATCCCCAATAGTAATATGTTGAACTGACAAGCTCGTAGGACCTGTAAAGTACAATTCTACTGCGAATGCCATCAATCACTAGTCTCTTGCTTCTGACGCGCCACCAATTCGACTCCCATTCAGAATCGTTGTGGTGGTTTGAATGCATTTGTGGACCAGACAACTAGAACGGAGATGATGTAGAGGCAAGAGGCGCACTATCGCAAACGAGCACATCACGGGTACGAATCCCTATCAATATCCGCCTAGGCACACCAAGCCTTCCATCCCTCTAGGTGGCACCAGACTCATCTGGGAGTATGAAAGCACTGACCTGTACATCGGCTGGATATCGCAACTTAATGTATAGGCCACATACACATTCAATCCGCCACTATGATTCTGAATGGGAGTCGAATGTGGGAGCGCATCCCTTAGACGGGATAGATTGACGCTAAAAGACTTTTCCAAATTCAAAGTTCATTTCAAAGCAATTATCCTCTCACACGAGTTTTTTACTAATCGACCGAAATGGAAGGTTCGGTTGGCCTAAACGGGTATGACATCTTGGAACTGATCCTCTCATCAAACGTATGACAGCGCACTTTGCAATATTCAGATCATCCATACCATGAACTAAGGACACCATGTATACAGTGAGCTTTCGTTAAGTAAATAAATAAAGCGAAAATCAATGGGTTTGGATAAACGGCTGTATATCGGCCTCACTATGTCATCCGAGGGATCAACTTGAAGTGTGCGCTGGCTCCTGTCTGCCCATCCATTCGTAAATGAGTGATTATGACAAGGCTGTTGCTAGGAAAAATTGATCGGGGAGGCAGGCTGCCCATGAATTTAACATTTGCGTCGTTATAATCATGACAGCATCCCCCATCACATCAGAAGCACATTCCTGCCCATGGTGGGAGGACAAAGTCAGAAGAGACCCCACTTTTACTACTGAGTGGATGTTTCATGGGAAGGAGCACGAAGAACTCAGCTCCGGAAAAAACAGAGCACCTGTAAATTTGTGGTACGAATTTATCGCATTGCCATGATTCAGGTCAGACCTTGAAGTGCACGAGTGGGAGACGTTAGGTCCGAACTTGATGCCGCGCTGGCCCCACTCGCTGCAAGTTGAGATAATCCAAACAGGAGGAGATCGGCAGTTGGCGCGCGCGCAATGCGTAGATCAAATTTGAAAGCGACGCCTTATCGATTAGCGCGCGGTCCTGGAAGCCGCCTTGGCCTTTTTCGTTAATCTTGCGCTTTAATTACTGCTCGTTCTTTCATTTTTTTCGTATTCGTTTTTCATCCTCCTCAAACGTCGAGAGCTTTGCTTTTATCCCCCACAACGATGTTCACATTTAGGAAGACTATTGAAGACTTGTCATTGGTAAATTCATTTCGACTCCGAATTCAGCGAATTTGTATGATGAACAATGCCCTTTGAGGGCGTTATTTGTGAGTTTCGATTATTTAGAATTTTGACTATTGTATTTACCACTCGGAACAGACACAACACATTTACCTGGGGGAATGCAGACGGCAGGTCAATCTTAACGCAATAAGGCACACATTTTCCCAAATTCAAAAGCTCTGGTTCAAGAATAGGAGCTATTGATTTCCAGCGAAACACACACACCACACACACAAAAAAGACTTGAAACCCGTCTCCTGATTCATTAACGGTGTTTTCATAATCATTGGAGTGGCTAATACTTTTCGACATCTCCTGTATAGGGCAGCTGGGGTATCGGAACTTCTCCTCGGATTTCCACGGCATGCCAGCAGGGGTTTCACGAGACTCTCCCTATCCTTCCATTGGGAACCCGACCCTTTCCCTTCATAAGGCGCCATCGCGTGCGGCGAGCGCGACACGCCGTTCGGGGAGAGGTTACCAGACCCGGGCAGCTGCCTTTGAGTGCATATACATATAGCAAGGTGATCACGTCACTCTCGTACTAGAGAAGAGCGGTGCTATAGTTACTGAGCGCTCAGATGGGTTATTCGATTCAACGACTGCACCCAATCCATTTTTCTTTTCCGCTCTTACGATTGTGCTATTTCCCATTTTCTTAGTGCATCCAGTCGTAATTTCAAGCTCATTCGAAGCAAGCAACCTCGACAACAACAATTTTAGTGCTCAAACACGTCGTTCATGAAATGCCGTTTGCCCCGGAGGTCTTCAGTTAGTCAATGCGTGATCTTCAATGCATCTAAGGATTACTGATCAGCCAGATCTCCTCGTGCCCTTGGATAGCGCCCATTCCTAGTGGTCACTTCTAGAGCGGAAACGTAAGGAAAATGACGGCATGAAACCTACCTGCGTTCGTTAGTTTCCCTGACGGCTGCGCTAAAATCGGACTCCTCGCCTTTCTTCATCTTAGTTCTGCTCTTGGATACCTTAATGCGGGACGAAATCTCAGGTAGGGATCATGAGTCCTGGACACTGATCATTTGATCCTACCTGAATTTTACAATTGTCGAAATGTGAGGATGCAGGAGCAGGCTTCACGACATTTCGCGTGTGCAGACCCACAGACATTCACGGAGCAGACTGTTGACGGTGATTGCCTAGTTAGGTGATGGTATCGACCGCGCTTTAAGAGTACTCCTAAAAACTGGTTCTTTCCATGGAAAACGTGCAACCAAAACATTGAGGGTAAAATATATGAGAATGAAACTGATAAGAAATGGGTGAGATTGTGGAAAATGAATATGTTCGAGGGGGGTCTGGCGCCTTCTCCCCGAACGGCATGTCGCGCTCGCCACAAGGGATAGCGCACTCTGAAGGGAAATATCTAAATTCCCAAGGGAAGGATGCAGAGAGTCGCCGCGGAACCACTGCTACCTTTCTCAGAAAATATGGCTTTTTTCTGAGTCTCAGTAACAAGGAGCGCCGGTGTGGGTGAGTAAATTGAATGTCCAGTATTTACATAATGCCAGCATTTTGCACGCGGTGTTGTACATACATTTCTTTCCCCCTCCCTTTCCACACCCATCCCAACTGCATCCAACTACATTTTCGCCGTAAGATTTTTTATGGAGCATTGAAGTGTCCTTCTTCGTCGGCTGGGCTGAATATAGCGGGTCGTTGTATGGGCCATATACACATTCAACACGTCACTACATTTCAGACGTTACTGAATAACGTCCAGAAACCTTTCTATCCTTTTATCGCCACCATGAGATCCTTACCTCGTTGGTTCACCTTCAAATCAAGGTCGTCTGCTCTCCGAACTTTGTGAGCGGATGGTAGTATCTCGGTTTCAGAAGCGAGCCACTGTAGCCCACCAGAGGACTCTAGAAATAGAATCACGAGGTTGCTATGGAAAATACCCTACTGTTGTCCTCTGATTGCCTGACTGGTTTCGTTCAAAGTCCAACATTTATTGTGCTGCTTCTGGCAAAAAATCTAAATAAGACGAGCAGATAAGACAGCTTTATTCAAAGGTACCGATTACACATAAGCCTTCACAGTTTATCCTGGTACTTTGAAGAAAGCGACGTGGTTCCTAATAGGATGTGTGATCACCATGGACAGCAATACATGCCCTGCAATGCAGTCCCATACTTTCGACGAGGTTGGTGATGAGTTCCTGTGGCGGGGCATTCCACTCATTTATTGGCGCAGTTGACAATTGCTCGAGGGTCACTGGTGCATTTGGACATGCTGCATTGCGTCTACCTAGCGCATCCCACACGTGCTCGATGAGATTGATGTTGGGGAATAGGCAGGTCACTTCATTCGCCGGATATCTTCTTGTGCCAAGTGTTCCTCCACTTGTGCTTTTTATGCAGTCGCACATTGTCACCCATGAAAATGAATTCAGGGCTCACTGCAGCGCATATGAGGGAGGGGTACTTCGTCACAGTAACGCTGACTGGTAAGGGTTCCACGCTCAAAAATGTGGAGGTCAGTACGGCTATACATCATGATGACCATACCTTAACACCTCGACCACCAGAACGGTAACGTTCGACAATGTTTCTGGGAAAGTTGCGTGTTCCCACCTCTCGCCATATGAAGGTGCGTCTAGAATCACTGCTCAGTCTGAATCTGCTATCATCCAGAAGAACTCACGGCTCCATTTCTCATCGGTCTATTCGCTATGCTCGTGGCACCACTAAACGGTCTCACCGATGCACGAGGGTCAAAGCATCGCAACGTAGCGGTCGTCGGGCGAACAGACCGTCACAGTGCAGTCGTCTTGCCACTTCAGTGCGTGAGATGGCTTGTCTTGAAGTCCTATTAAATGTCAATGCAATCACCAAAGCTGCTTGGCGCGGATCTCTACTTGCCTGTTGCATAATGTAGCGCACATCCTTTGGTGTAGATGATCTCGGTCGATAACCTCCTCTCCTTCGAGCAGCAGTACCAGCGGATCGGAATGCTCTCCATGCACGTGAAGGAACGCTGTGAACGATACCGAGATCCTGAGCTACTCTCTTCATTTTCTCTTTCCACATTTTCCGATGGTTTTTCCTTGTGTGAAGTCATTCGGATGATGCCTGGGGAACATGATGTATGGAAGGATACCACTATAGGACCTTGTAGCCACCCGCTGATTGGCAATTTTTTTCTCGTACTTATCAAGGGAAGTCCAACTTCTTGATCGGTCCCGTTATAGGTCTGGCAATATACTCCCACACTTTCATTTATTTCCACCCAGTCCTTAGGTTTTATGTTACATTATTTATCTCGTCCCTCGATTCAGAATAAAACAAGCTGTGTGAATTATTACCAGTATTTTAATTATTCAAGCATCTGCTACGCCATCTCCCTCCTAACAATGCCATCGCTAAAATTTAACAGAATTTTTGCGATAAAGTCATTGAGAGTCCGACCTCCCGGATCCGTGCCAACATGGGAAGCTAATGAGGACATTTGAAGTGTTAAACTCGATGGAATCTGCCATATGTGGGCCTTCTGAATGAGTAAGGAAGTTCCCCAACATATCACCCACAGCACTCATTATTTATGTCATTCGTACCTGCCTTTCAAAAAACTAATAGCTCTCCTATAAATGTTGTTCGCTGTATAGTTTTTCAATCCATAGAATTTATTTGGATACGGGGTATTGTTTTTTTATGGAAATTACGATTTATTAACATTTATCAAAGTTTTGAATTTCTAATGAACATTTGATTTTCTTCATGATACTGGAGAATTTGGTAGTTCAAGTATGATATATATATGTAATTATACCACATAATACTGATAGCGTTAATATTAAAACAATAGGTGTCATAACTATATAGATAAAAACTGGTAAAGTTAGAATACAAAGAAGAAAAAGTACAATCTCAACGAAAATTACCCGGTAGTACTTCTGAACAACTACAAAAAGAAGACAATAACAAACGACATCGAAAAATGATAAATCAATTACAGAAAGCTTTGATTAGAGATTGATCGATTGATTAACAAGCGTGAGATAACTGATAAAAACACTGAACACTGGGTTAATGGAATTGATATAAGGGCGTCGGAAATCTTACCATGGCCTGGGATTGGGAAGGCCCATCAATCATGACCTTCCAGCTAACAACGAAGAATGGAAAGAAATTAGAAAACAAACTGTATAAGTAACTATTCAGATTATCATATCCTGATGGTCAATAAAATGACAGCGAGGCAGAGCGTGAGCGTTGCGATCGAGGCCGAGTTTTCGTCGACTCGTTTCATCATCATCCAACCCTCTTCGCCTTCTTCGGCGGTAAACTCCCGAACGCCTCCTGTGGTCGCTGGAGCTACAAAGAGGTTGGCTTCTTTTTTTGAAAAATTTCACACTACGTATTCACTGAATTTCCGTCAAACCTCCTCCTTTTCCATCTTGGAAATTGATTAAATTCTATTATAACCTGAAATCCTGAGGACGAAATTACTACAGGAAAGTAAATACTACAAAGTGCCCAAGTAACCCCTAATCGCCGTCTGCTTCAATGCGTCGGCAGGAGGAGACTTTTTTTTTGAAAATTATTGATCAAATTAAATTCGATTAAATTCAATCAAATTAAATAACTTAAATCAATCAAATCAATTTAGAGGTGTCCGGTATTAGAAAATTATTCAAGTGATAGCACAGAATACTCCGGAAGTGGGAGAGGATCCGAGAAAATTTGTTTTTCTCTCAAAAGAAATATAGGACTTCAAAAAAGTAAAAAATAAGAAGTTGGACGAGAAAGACGAGAAAAGTTCCATGAAGGGGAGTGCCTCTACGTGCAACTTTCTACAAAAAGCTGCCTGCGTGCAACGTGTGCGTCCCGGTGCGAACGGTGCAACGTCTACAGTCTCTACAACGCCATCCGACCCGACCTCCATTGGGTGCGTTCATCGACTAANTAAGACGGTTTTGAGCCCCTTATTGTGTCCTATCTGAACCGTTTATCGAATCTCGACCCGACAGCGTCCCTTATACCATCGTGGGAGGTGCGTTCAAGGTTCATCCCAGGAAAAAATCTCGGGGACCATTTTTATCGTGAACTGTGCCATCAAAGACTCCCAATCCCAATACATCTTGACTTCAGCAACAGCAGTATTTTTCAGTTATTGGGTGCTGAGGCTCTCTAGCATCTGTTGAGAAAATCAACCTATTTCTATTTCACATTCTTGTAGCACATATGCCATCTTTAGTTCAACATAAGACCGAGATCCCGAAGCGGTTTCTCAGTACTTCCTGTATTGAATGTGCATTTTCGTGTTATTCGACGATAATAATAATTGAGAATTGTTATTGACAACAGTCAGGCAACTTACTCGGAGTTAGATCACTTTCCTCATTCGATTCGGCAACTCTCGGAACTTCGTAGTCTTCGTCATCTCGTTTAATCGAATGATCCCAGTAGTCATCATCATCGTGTTCATGGCTGTAGAATCTACTTTGTATGACTCGCATTCATACTATGACTTCATGATGTCAAACAAATTCGAAAACCAAACCAACTCTTAAATCTCTTCCATCTCACATGTTAAGCCCCTTCAAGTGAGTTCGATAAATAACTTCGTCAGACCAATCATAAAGTTCAAAGGATTCATTAGGCGAAACTAGTGGAGTTCTATTCATCCAGGACCAGTTTAAATCAGATTAAGCTAACAATAAGATTAACTTTTAAGTATACTACCTCTTCAACCTGATTAACCTAAGATTAATTTTCAGGTAATTCTCTTCAAACTTGCCCATCGGCTATACATGATGTTTTTGAGAATGTTGGTTGGTTCTGTATAGCCACAGCGAAATTATCCCTGATAGTCTTACCAGACAAAAATCGACAAAATTTAAGAAGATGACAGTCAGGCAAGGATGGGCTATTTTTGGATGGAGGGAGAGGAGAAGGAGTGGAGTGGGTGTGGCAATTCATATAGATATCTTCAGTATCGCCATTTCCATGGTATTAGGTGTGTGCCGCCGCCGAATTCCAAGGGCCGTTGCGCGAACCATGTCGGAGGTTTACCGGTGAAACCTGTCTTATTTTGTAAGGTAGGGAATTGGCTACCTACTGAAGGACAGACAGATCGATCCGTATTCCCCAAAATCCTGTTGCTGTCAGACTGATTGGTCATGGAACGTGATGAGCGGTTTTCCCGGGGGACCCTTCTCCTGCTGTTTGATTTCAAGAAAACTGGCATTGAAGCCCACCGGATGCTTTTATGGAGGACAAGCTTCATCTGCACGAACCTGCTGAGATGATTTCTCTTCACTCGAGAGTTTGCAACGAAAGCGGAATGTCCATTGCCAAAAAGTAATGCTGTGTGTGCATTTGGTGAGGGGATCAAAAGTGTGTTGTGTACTATGAGCTGCTGAGCCCGAAGGAAACCGTTACTGCTGACCGCTACGAACACCAACTTGACAATTTGTAGGATGCTATCATCTAAAAGCGACCGTTATTCGCAAGAAAATATCATGAGATGCTGTCCCACCACGAACATGCCAGACCCCATGTTGCGAAGAATGTCCTTTAAAAATTGCAGTTGTTGGATGGGATCAGCTTGTTCAGCCCGCATACTCTCCTGATCTTGCTCTTTCTGATTACCACCTATTACGGTCCATGCAAGTCAGTTTGGCAAATATACGCTTCCGGAATGCCGAAGAAGTGCGAAAATGGGTGGATAACAGGATTGCCTCAAAAGATGAAAACTTTGTTAAACTCGGAGTCAACAAGATACCAGAAAGATGGCAAGAAGTTGTAGCTAACGATGGGCAATACATTGGTTAATGTACATTCGGTTAATTTTGTAATAAATATGCTTTTGCACGCAAAAACGGCGGAAGTTAATGCACACAGCTAATACATGGCCCTCAACGCTTATACATTAACCAGTTTGGCTATGCACACTAACGCGTGCAGTATAT